GGCGGTGTCCCGTGGTGTCCCGTGCTGTCCCGCTGAGTGAGATCGATAGTGAGATCGATATTGAGATCGATATTGAGATCGGTGTGGTGTCCCGAGGTGTCCCGTGGTGTCCCAAAAAGTAAAATCAATAATATAATCAACAAATCTCCCGTGGTATCCCGTTAAGTGAGATCAATAGTGAGATCGATAGTGAGATCGATGTGGTGCCCCGTGGTGTCCCGTGGTGTCCCGTGGTGTCCCAAAAAGTGAGATCGACAGGTGTCCCGTGGTGTCCCGTGGTGTCCCGTTGAGTGAGATCGATAGTGAGATCGACGTGGTGCCCCGAGGTGTTGAGTGAGATCGATAGTGAGACTGATAGTCAGACCGAGAGGTGTCCCGCGGTGTCCCGTGGTGTCCCGTGGTGGCCCGTGGTGTCCCGTTGAGTGAGATCGATAGTGAGATCGATAGTGAGATCGACAAGTGTCCCGTGGTGTCCCGTGGTGTCCCGTTGAGTGAGATCGACAGTGAGATCGATTGAATCAGAAGTTGGTTCCCCCCCTCTCCCCCCCACCCACAACCTCCTTATCACCCGAAGGGTGGTCGTATAGGTATCCCAAAGCCTCGATGTCCGCCCTCTTCGTCTTCGATCGTACCCTCCTTGGGGGTATATCTTCATTACCTGCCTCGTGTTGTTGGCGCAGCAGCTAAAACAGGGGAAAGGCAGTGAGAAGGAAAGAGACAAGGGGGAGGGAGAAGGATGTAGCACGAGAGAGATGTGCGCAGGAGGGGGGCGAGGAGCAGGAGCAAAAGCGGCAAAGCCAGACTGGCGGGTCGGGCGGGCGGCTCCAGCCGGCCAGGTCGAGCGGGCGGGTCGTTGAAGCGTCAATCCAACATGAATCGCAAGTCTCGAGCGAGAGTGATCATCTTGTGGAGATCCAAAGCGGGAGAGTGATTTTGGAGTGTTGGGGGTACGCCGCCCTAACACAAAATGCGAGCAAGTGCAAGGTTCTCCCGTCGCAAAGCGGCACGTGCAATCCGCACGCGCGCTGAAGGCGACCGCAGAAAGCGGGCGCGGAGGGGACTCACCGCACGAAGGGCTTCGGCAGGAGTGGCCTGGAGGGAGCGGCCAGCCGTTGCTGAGGCGTCCTGGCACTGGACGTGCAACGGCATCGCGCCCACAGCCAGGGGCTGAGGCAATGGCTGGACGCGCTGAAGGCGTAGCGCAAGTCGAACCAGTACAGGAGGGGAGCAGCGAGCGAGCCCACTCAGGCGGGTAGCATCAAAGTGTTCGTCAGAAGGCCGCGGGTGACAGGCATTGCCGCGGTACGGCGGCAGCGGGATTTGAAGGCCCCAGCGACTAGTTCGCAGCAGGAAAATGCTGCTAAACTGCCGCGCTGAGCTCTCGAGGGCCGAGCCGCAAGACTGCTAGATGCACCGACACTGGGAGCGGCAAGCAGGGCTGCCAAGCGCCGGGGGCTGTTGAGCAAGGCACCACTTGCAGAGGTGGCCCGGGCGGCGAGGAGTCACCAGCCGCCGCCAGACACGCCCAGGCAACGGCACCACGGTCGTGCTGCTGGAGTCCGCCGTGCTGCTCGCGATGATGCTGTTTGAGTCTGTCGTGTTGTTCACAATCGTGATACTGGAGTCCATTGTGCTGCTTGCGATGGTGCCGCCTGAGCCCGTCATGTTGTTCACCGTCGTGCTGTCGAAGTCCGCCGTGCTGCTCGCGATGGAGTTGCTGGGGCCCGTCGTGATGTTCGCGATGGCTCTGGTGGAGTCCGTCGTGCTGCTCACGATCGAGCTGCTGAAGTCCGTCGTGCTGCTCACAATGGTGCTGCTGGAGTCCGTCCTGCTGCTCACGGCCGTGCTGCTGGAGTCCGTCGTGCTGCTTAGGGTGCCGTTGCTGGAGTCCGACGTGTCGCTCACGGTCCAATCCGTCGCGCTGCTCACGGACGCGCTGACTTGGGGCCCGTCGTGCCGCTCGCGATGGCACTGCTGGGGTCCGTCGTGCTGCTCAAGATGAGGCTGCTTGAGACCGTCATGCTGCTCCCGATGGTGCCGCCAGGGTCCGCCACGTTGCTCACGGTCGTGCTGCTGGAGTCCGTCGTGCTGCTCACGATGCTGCCGATGAAGTCCGTCCTGCTGCTCACGATGGTGTTGCTGAAGTCCGTCCTGCTGTTCAGGGTCGTGCTGCTGGAGCCCGTCGTGTTGCTCCCATCGCTGCTACTGGAGTCCGTTGCTGCTCACGGTCGCGTTGCTGGAGTCCGTCGTTCTGCCCACGAGCGCGCTGCTGAGGACCGTCGTGGTGCTCACGCTCGTGCTGCTGAAGACTGTCGTGTAGCTCACGGTCGTGCTGCTGGAATCCGTTGTGCTGCTCACGGCGATGTTGTTGTAGTCCGCCGTGTTGTTGCCGGGTGTACTGCTGGAGTCCATCCCCTTGGTCGCGATGGTGTTGTTGGAGTCCGACGTGCTGCCCACGGTCGTGTCGTTGGTGTCCGTCGTGATGCTCGCGATGTTGCCGCTGGAGTCCGTCATGGTGCGCACGATCGTGCTGCTGGAGTCCGTCGTTCTACTCACAGTCGTGCTGCTAGAGTCCGTCGTGCCGCTCCCAAAATTGTTGCTGGAGTCCGTCATGCTGCTTAAGGTCTCGCTGCTGGAGTCCGTCGTGCTGCTCACGAACGCGCTGCTTGAGTCCGTCGTGCTGCGCACGATGGTGCTGCTGGAGTTTGTCACGTTGCTCACGGTCGTGCTCAGATTCGCGACCGATCGTCGCACGAAATTGGGGAGCGAGTGCCATGGGAGCTGCCCTTCCCGCGGGGCGACCTTGGAGGGGCAACCCAGGTCCAGGCAGCATTCCGGGCAGCGTCGCGAGTTGAGCATTCGGAACAGCGACAGCCCCGTCAGGGCCCCCAGAGGCCACTTGGTTCCCACTCCCAGGAGCGTCATTGACCGTGGAAATCGCTTTTGATGAGGACGTGTCAGAGCCGTGACGACGGGGGCTTGACGTTCTTGGGGGAGCGGCGACAGCCACGTCGGGCCCCCAGAAGCCACCAGGTGGTCCCCATTCCCAGGAGCCCCACTGATCGTGGCAATCGCCGTTTGGTGAGGACGCGTCAGCCGAGCCAGGAGGGCTGATGGAATGTAACAGTGACGCACCGCCAGATGTTACAGTTTGGCGGTGTGGAGTTACATTAACGAAGGGCCTGTTGTTACAGATGGTTGGCCTGATGATGCACTGCAGGCAGGGGGGCTGCGCTGCAGGGAGGCTAACCTTGGCGGCGCAACATACGAGGAAGTTTCAAACGAGCGGCTGCTGCGCCGCAGCCTGCGCCCGCGGCTGCTGCCAGGGGGGCTAGAGAGAGTCGCACGTCCTTGGCCAGCGTCCACGCTGCGAGCGTGCCCACTCTCCGGCACGTCCCCAAGCGCGCACGGGCTGCGTGGTCCCGCGCGCTGGTTCGTTGCCTTGCCAGTGCGGTGGCGCACAATTCCGTTGCTGCATGGACGGACTTGCAGATGCTGGCCAAAACCGTCCTGAGCGCGCAGTGGCCGGGATCACGGATCCGCCTTCGCGGCGTTCACGCTGGAGCAACTCGCCCGTTGGGAGGCGGGCGAGCGGCTGACCCTTTGGCAAGAGGCGTGCGACGCTCAGACCAGCAGGCGCCGTCGGCCAGCCGGCCCGCCCACGACCGAGCTGCGGGCAGCGCGCGCCACGGCCTACGCTGCAGAGGGCCTGCCGGCCAAACGGTGCGGCGCCTTGACGGCGACGGGGGTGGCCGAACAGACGAGGGAGACAAAGCCGGCCCTCGAACGATTGCACCCAACGGCGCCCGCCGAGCCGATTGGGCACCTGGACACGCTCTTGGCTGCGCCAGAGTTCGCGCCAAACGCCGCGCTCAAGGCTTTGCGCGTTTCTCAAAAGGCACCGCCCCGGGCCCTTCTGGAGTCCGAGCCCAACGCAGGATGGACGCTCTCACCCCCGCCGCCCGCGCGACAGTCTGCGAGCAGCTCGCGGCTGTCGGGCACCTGCTGGCGAACGGGGAGGCGCCCCGGCAGTTGGCGCCGCACCTTGCTAGGGCCAGTTTGGTGACGCTGGAAAAGGAGGACGGCGGTGTCCGGCCGATCGTAGTCGGCGAGGTGCTCCGTCGCCTCACGAGCAAGATCCTTTGTGAACACGTGAAGGGCAGGGCCCGGCAGACGTTGTGGCCACTGCAGACTGGCTGTTGCAGCCCGCTGGGTGCGGAGGCAACCGCGCACGCCGTGCGCCAGTGGTGCGAGCGCAACAGCACCCTTGGCAACAAGCTTTTGCTCAAGCTGGACTTCGCGAGCGCCGTCAACACGTTGCGGCGTGGCGAGGCGCTGCGCGCCGTCGGCGACCGATTCCCCGCGCTGGAACGGCGGGCGCGCTGGACGCACGCGGAACACTCGCACCTGCGGTTCGGCAAGCACGCGGTGTCCTCCCAAGCTGGCGCCCAGCAGGGCGATCCACTGGGGCCCTTGTTCTTCTCCCTGGCTGTGCACCCAGTGCTGGAGGAACTGGCCAGAGACCAGGAGCTGGACCTGAAAGCTTTCTACCTGGACGACGACTCCGTGGCAGGCACGGCGGAGGCGTCGGCGCGGGCGCTCGCTGCCTTGCAACTCCGCTGCCCAGCGCTCGGGCTTGCACTCAACCTGGGTAAGTATGAGCTCGTGGTCCCAGGCTGGCAGGCGCCAGACGGCCTGGATCGACTCTCCCCTGCGCCGCCGCTGACAGACCCTGACGTTGGCGCCAGCCGAGTAGTCCTGAGAGGCGGCTTCCGGCTTCTCGGCGCACCGATCGCGGGCCAGGCCTTCGCGGAGGCCTTCACGGAGCGGCGCGCTGCCAAGGCGGGGCCGACCCTGGCGGCGCTGGAAACCCTGCACCCGCAGGTGGCCCTCCCACTGCTGCGGCACTGCGCGAGCTTTGGCAAGCTCGTCTAGGCTACGACGCCGCGCAGCGGGGCGCGCTTGGGCATCTGCTGGCCGCGGACTTGACGGACGCCCAGGAGCGCCAGGCCTCCCGGGGGCTGGCGCGCGCCGGCCTGGGTCTGCGGCGGCTGGAGGCGCACGCGGCGGGCGCGTACCTGGCCAGCCTCGGCGCCACGCGGCGTTTGTGCTCGGAGCTGGAGACTCGGCGTACAGCTGGGCGCCAGAGGATGCAAGCACGCGGGCTGGAGCTGCTCTCTCTGCGCACAACGCGCAGCTCCCGCAGTCTGCCAGCGCGCGCCCTGACGCCGTGGACACGGCGAGGCAGAAGGACCTTTCTGCTGCGCTTGGCGACCACTGCCACCAGCTCTTCTTCGAGAACCTCGGGGCAGCCGACCGCGCGGACATCCTGTCCGAGATACTCCCCGGCGCGTCGGGCTAAGGTCGCGCCAAACGAGAAGCTGGGGCTGCTCTTCGAGCCGGAAGAGTTCCTCACCGAGCTGCGGAGGCGGCTTCTGCTCCAGGTCTATGACACGGGCTATTTCTGCCCTTGCTGCGATGTGCCTCGCGACCGGCACGGGCGCCACGCTGGCCTCTGCGCTGGCGTGGGAGACCGGGTGTGCCCGCGCAACGCCGCGCGCAACCTGGTAGGGCGATTCGCCGCTGCAGCCGGCTGCAACCCAGAGCTGGAGAGGCCGGAGCTCTTGCCACCGCGCCCAGACGACGACCGCGCTTTCGGCCGTCGCCCCGCCGACGTGCACATCCCGAGCTGGCACCGAGGCACGCCTGCCGCCTACGACTTCGCGGTTTCCTCTCCGCGCTAGCAGGCTGCCAGGCGGCTGGCCGCCCAAGGGATTGGATGCGCCGCAAGCGCGTGCGAGGTGGTCCAGCGCACCCACCTCGACACGGAGGTCCTCTGCAGGCAACAGGGGATTATCCTCATCCCTTTGGTCGCAGAGCCCACGGGCGGCCCGGGCCCGACGGGGGCCGACACGCTCCGCCGCCTAGCGCGGGCCAGTGACGCGCGCCTGGGCGAGGAGCCAGGCGCGGGAGCGACGCGTCTCTTCCAGCAGCTGTCGGTGGCTATCCGGAGGGCTTCCGCCCACGCCGTCTTCCGGCGGCACTTTGGGGAAGTCCCTGCTGGGGGAGCGGCCGCAGCTGCCTGGGACGTCCTCGCCGAAGAACACGAAGGTTTCTTGTAGGCGCCCTTGTTCCATCCCTCCTCCCTCCGCCTCCCGGAGAGGTGTTTTGTTCTTTGGCGCCGATTGAAAGCGTGATTCACCCTCCCGCCCGAGTTCGGGCAGCTAGCTTGCACTTTGAGTTTTTCCGCCTATAACGATCATTTCTGTTGTTGTCTTCTTCGTTCGTCGTCGTCGTCGTCCGTCGTTCGTCTCTTCCGCTCCTCTCGCCTTTCCCGCTCCTCCTCCGCCGTTGGCGTCTCACCCTTCGGGGGGCTGCATCTTGCGGCGGGTTGGTGAACGGTGCGCTCCCTGCTCCCGCTTGCGGAAGTTGGTGCGCTCGCCGATCGCCTCTCGTTGCTTGACATGGCCCCTTTCTCGCCCTTGTGCCCGTCGGGGCCTCCCCCCTCGATGCTGTTTGCTGATGGATCGACGCGCGCCAGATCGGCACTGACGGCGTCACCCTGATAAGGATCAGATTTCGCCTCTCGGCTTTAAGGGGCTCTGCTGGTGGCGGAAGTGGCAAAGCGACGTGGCGCTCTTCGGGAGGCCGAAAAAGAACGTAGCGCCACCCAGCAGGATTCCCCTTTTTCGAGAGGTTTCGCCTGTAGGCCTCCCACCAAGTGAAGGTCTGGGTCATGCAGAGCGCGTTGCCTGGAATGGTTTTGGCTAGGGCGCTGCACAAGAGGCCTTCCGTGCAGTGGTCGATCCAATACTCTTCTGATCGTGGCAATCGCGTGCGGCGAGGACGCGTCAGCACTCGGGAGGGCCAACGCGTTGTCACAGCCAGGGCGGGGGGGGCTGACGTTCTGGCGCTCTGGATGTTTTGGAACAGGCGCCACCCCGCGCCCATCAGGCGCCCTGTCGCGACCGAATCCAAGGGCATGTCGAGCTACCTTCTTTCGCCTCGCCCTCGCACTCAGACAGAGCATTCAGCGCACTGCACCACCGTGACCGCACCGGCCTGCTGAGCCGCCCAGGCCGCGCAGCCGAAGCCTAGCCGCAGGACGATGGCACAGACGCTCCCGCACCGCGAGCACCTGATGCGGCGACGCCAGGTGCGCCAGGCCCACCGCACGGCCACCGCGAGAGCGGTCGCACGTCTGGCGTCATTCCGCCCGTCGCGCGCAAGAGTTTGTTTTTGCATCGGTAGTCGGCGTAGGCTGTCCCTGCCTCCTTCCATGTGCCAGGGTGCTCGAAGACGATCAGATTCGAGGTCTTGACCCCGCGCCGCCCAGAAGGCAAAGCGAGATTGGCAGCAGCGTCCACGAAGCACGACAGCCCCCACTCGCTGTTGACCTCGAAGGCAGCATCTGCACCCTGGAGGACCACCCGTCTGAAGTGGACACGGCCCTTCGTGATCATCCGGGTGATGACGCCGCGATCCGCCCAGCGGTCGTTGGTGTCAGTCACCCAGCTATCGAGGATACGTCCAGCATTGTGCCCAGGGCGAAGCAGGCCACGCGCGAGGACGCGGACCTCTCTGAGGCAAGCAGCGGCGGCATCGACCGCGCCGATGAGCTCGTCCAGGAGCGCGAGTCCGGAGCGCTGCCCCAGGCCAACACGGCCGGCCAGGTCGACTGGGGCGTCGTCGTCGAGATGCTCACTCGTAGGGAAGACGTCCGCCGAGTGCCGCACGGCGCACCGGCACGGGTCGTGCACCGTCATCGTAGCTGGGGGCCCACGCGTACGGCTCCGTCCAGGTGCTCCACGTAATTAGGCACCATGCCGTCCCCAGCCACGTCCTCCAGCGTGTTCCGCACCTGGTTCAGCGCGTCCAGGGCTGCCCCCACCCGCTCGGCCACAGCCCAGGCGTCCCAGCGCCGTGAAGGCGCCGAGGGCGAGGCGGCAGGGGCCTCAGGGGCTGCGATCCAACGCGCCGCCGCCGCGCGCTGAGGGGCGCGGCGACAAGCCCAAGGCCGGAGCGTCACGGGGCCCGTTGGCGCCGTCCCGGGGCCCCCATCGTCGCCAGCAATGGCGGGCCACGCGCGCTCCGCTCCGCCGACATGGGGCCAGGAGGGGGGAGCCAGGAGCGAAGCGCGAGGCCGCGACTTGGCCACTCCCAGGCGCAACAGAGGTCGGGGCCGACTCCCGTCCCGGCGGCAGGCCGCTGCGGCAACCTCGAACCAGAGCGGCTTGAGCCAGAGGGCTACGGAGCGAAGAATCATCACTCGAGAGCGCGATTCCTGCAGAATTTGTGAGGAGGTCCCGCGCGAGATCGTAGTGAGGAAGCATCAGGCGGGAGCCGTTGTTGTTGTAGCTCGGGGCCCAACCACGCATTCTGAGGCCCAAGACTTCCCCTTGTAAGAAACAAGGTGCGAACCCCGGCCGCAGCAATTCAATTGAAAAAACCATGGGCACCGAAATGGGAACAAGAATATCTAGCATTCGACGGACATCCCGCCCGCCACTTCTGTGCCCACGACGCGAGGGAGGCTGGGTTCGTCGCTCGGGGGAAGAGGACCTCGTCGCCGCCGCCGCCGGCTCAGCTGGCCGCGCGGCCGCCGGCATTCATGTGCGCTGCGGGCGCGGGCGGGGCCCGCGCGCCGGCACGCCCTGGGCGCAGGCCGGGCCCGGCGGCCATCGGGCCCCGCTGCGCAACTCGGGCGGCGCCGAGGGCGGCCGCCGCTGGGGGAGCCACCGCCTCTTAGACAGCGAGGGTCGATCGAGAGGGAAAGGTGCCGATACCGCTGCTCGTCCTCGAGGGCCCTCGTCGCCACGGCTGAGTTCTCTTCGAAATTCGGAGCATAACGCACCCCAGGAGAGGTCCGGGAAGCAGCGCTGTCGGTACTTTTTGTCCCCCAGAGGAGGAGGACGAGAGAGGATGAGGGAGGATGGAGGACCGAGGAGGTTCTGGACGTGGACGTCCTTGGGAGTGCTGCGGGAGGTGGCGACCCCCTTGGTGGTGACCCCCCCGTGGCGTTGCCTGCGCAGTAGTCAGTAGACACTCGCTCCCGCCCCCCACCTCTTCGTGAAGGCTAAAAAATGTCAGTTTGACTAACCCTATGGCGCGCTAAACCCTCTGATCCTGGCTGGCGTCCAGGGAGGTCGCGGCCGGTCATTTTCGGCCCTCTGGGGCGTCAAGAGATTGCCCAAGGTGAAGCACTTGCCTTCGGCAAAAGGTCTCGCTATCCCCTTCTCCCCTTTCGTCCTCCTCGATTTGAACGCTGAGAGGGAAACAAAAAGCTAGAATAAAGCTCCACTTCCATTTGTGGGTAAGCTACTCTCCCATGCTTGCGCATTGGCAGCACGTGCAACCTCCCGGCGTCGCGAAAAAAACAAGGGATTGTTGTGCGCAGTGTCGGCATCCAGGGGCCATGTTTGTGCCCTGGGGATATTGAAAAAAGAAAGAGTGTTTTGATTCGAGCGATCCCCACCGAAACCTTCAGCGTTTGTTCTCTGCGGCGCGCGGTCGCCTAATTGGTTGGCAACTGCCGTTTCTAGATTCAAAAAACGGTTCAACCGTGTTCCATGTAGTCACGTTATTTCATGTTACGTTCTATTATGTGATGTTATGTTCTCGACGGGCCGGCGTGACGTCGTGACGCTTGTGACGTTAGATGCGTCGTGCAGTATGATGTTACTATTCACTTATATGCTTATATGTATCTCGTCTGATTGAGTATGGTATATTATGCTCATCTCTGTCACCATATGAGTTGACATGTTATGGTATGGTCTGCTCTGCGGCACTATGTTATGGCATGATATGCTATGTCAGGTCATGCTATACTATGGTATGTTCCGTGATGATGTTGACAGTGCGGCTCAGTATAGTAGATCGTAATGTGGTCTGCTTGTATGCTTCGCTATGATTTGTTGCCGTGTTATGGTAGGCTCTGTGATGATGTCATGATATGATGTGGCATGTTATGTGAAGGTGTGCTATGTCGTGCTCGGTCATGCTATGGAATGATGTGGTCTGCCGTCTTCTGTTATATCATGTTCTGCTCTGGTGTTGTCTGTCATGTTATGTTTGTTGACGGCTCGGCTCTGTTTAGTATAGTACGATACGCTAGTATGTGTCGCTATGAATTGTTGCTGTGTTATGATATGCTATGTGATGCTGTGCGATGATATGATACGTTATGTTACGCTGCGTTATGTTATGATATGTTGTGTTATGCTGTGTTCTGTCGTATTATGATATGTCATGTTCTGATCCAGTGTGTTATACCATATTCCATGGTGTCTCATGTTGTCATGACATTGCTAGGTTGTGTTCTGCCATGTTCGTGTTCTGTTATGTTCTGTCATGTTGTGTTCTGTCGTGTCCGTCGTCGCTATGCTCTGCTGTAGTGTTTTGATACGTCATGTGATTACGCGTCAAGGTACGACATGTTATGTCAAGGTGTATTATGTCATGCTCGGCTATGTTCCGTTATGTTGTGTTCTGTCGTTTTCTGTTATAGTATGTTATGTTATGGTTTTCTCTATGATGTTATGTTTGTTGACGGCTCGGAACTGTATCATGTATTATGAGATGATCTGCTAGTATGTGTCGCTATGCTCTGCTGTCGTGTTATGATATGTTATGTGATGCTGTGCCATGATATGTTATGGTACGATGTGTTATATTATGATATGGTTTGTTATGGCATCTTCTGGTCTGCCATGTTCTGCTCCGG